AAAAAAAAAAAAAAAAAAAAAAAAAAAAAAAAAAAAAATAAACTAGAAAATTTCAACGGGAACCACAACAATTCCTGCTTCCACTTGCCTCGGATCAAAAGAGAATAGAAAAAACACAACGAGTCTCTCGTTCTTACGCCCTCTCGGATATATCGTTCTTGTAAGGCTGGAACAACTTGGGCGGCTCCATCTTCGTGGGCGACGAGGACATTATAGCGCTGTACGAATTCTTCCCGTCGAAAACGCCGATCGTCTGAATGCTGCCCGGCAAACCGCTGATACTGATCCCCGTTGGGGTCAGCTTGGACGGCACCAGTTGTTGTTGGCCGGCTGCGTGGATCATATTGGGCGACGGGCTCTTCCCATCCATGTGCTGCTGCTGCCCGTTGTGGTGTGGCTGCGCCCCGACGCAGTCGCAGTCGCTCGACGCGTCGGAGTGGACCGGGCTCATCTCGGGGTGCAAGCTCGGCCTGTAGACGGCGGAGGCGCTCGAGGGTGGGCTGTTCATCTGGAAGGCGGTGCTCCCCACCGTGGGAACGCCCAGGCCGGACAGATGTAGGGGTTGCAGCGACGGGTGAGGTTGGAGGATGTGGGGGTGCGCCGGGTAGGCGGCCGCCGTGCGCGGATGGGGCCTGTGAAGGGCCGACGAGCCCGTGCCCGTGACGGGGGACGGGTACGGCGTGTACCTGGCCGCGTAGTAGGCCGCGGCTGCGGCCGCAGGGTAGCTTGGGGCCAGGTGGGTCGGCGGTATACCCGGTGGCCCGTGGTACGGGGGCGGTGGCAGGGACGCCGTTGCCGCGGCCAGCAGTGTGGCCGCGAGGGCTGGGTCCGTGTACATGGCGTAGGGCCACGCCATCGCCATCCTTTGCCGCTTATCCTTCATCCGACGATTTTGAAACCAAACCTGGAAATTGGATGGAATCGGTCGTTTCGGGCTAGAATCGTAGTATTCGTGTTACGTTGGAGGATGAGTTTCTTTTCGAGAGAGAATCGTCGTTTTATGACACGTTCGGGGATTTGGAGAGCGGAAAGGGAGGTCGCGTTCGGGCTAACGTTTCTACCATTTAACACCTCGATCATTTCCGTCGGTAGATGGTTTTATAGCTGTTGTGCGGCCGAGATGAGAAATTAAGGGATCCATTAAAGTCAAAGGTAACCCGGGAAAACCGCTAATTAAAGTGCTTAACACCTCGAACCGGATCGACCGGTCCTGGTGTCGAAAGAAATTAAGAAGTCACGGAAAAAGGATCAAGGGGGATCGAAAGGCCAAGAAATTTTTGTTCCCCTTCGTGATTGACTGTTTGAGAGAGAGAGAGAGAGAGAGAAATGAAAAAAGAAAGAAAAAGAATCGATAACGGACTTTTTACCGTTCTTCTTCGCTTCTTTTCGAATTATAATTCGCGAGCCAGTGGCCGCGAGTTCACGAAACTCGGCTCGATAATTAATTGTCTCGATAAATCCTTTCGTTTTAAAATTATTCAACTACTTGAAATTAATACACCCTAATTCGTAAAGTTATTTTTGCTTCCAATGAAATTAACATTTTTTTTTAATAATTCTGTACTATGTACAGTTTCATCGTTTCGAGCCTCTGATTTCACGTGAAGCTTTTCGTCGTTCGAAGTGAAAGAAATTTTATTCTTTCGACCGAGAAAGGTTCGTTTGACGAAATTGCGTAAAAAGAAACGAAAAAAAAAAAAGATTTATCCTGTGTATTTTCGCTACCGTCGATTACCGGTATTAATTAAACATGCCTAGGTGTTAATAAAACATTTTTCTATGTATAGGCCGGAAGATGAGCTCATTGTTTACTTCATACTTTACACTGAACTTCATTACGTTTACTTATCCTCGATAAATATTCTGTCGTGAGCGAACACGGTATGAAACGATTTGTCTAATTGATCGTTCAATAATTAAACTCTAAGCTACCTTGATTGTGGATTCCGGCAGGTGTAATTGTGCGGCTAATTCACACCTCCTTGGCCTGCTCACGTAATTCTCTCTGTGAAACTCTTTCTCTAATCTCGACAACTGTTCCCTAGTAAAAGCTGTCCTGTACCTTCTGATATTCGGGTCCATCGAGGACAACGATTGGTTCTGCGATGGCGAATCTGAGGAAATTGATAATAACACTTGTTAACACGTGGTCATATCAAACAAACATCTGTAAACATTATTAGAAAATTAAAAGAAATTTTTTTAAAATTCAAAACAATCTTCAAAGAATTTGCGCAACGATCTTCTACAACAAAAAATATGTATATCACAGAGAGATATTCAAACAGAAAGTTGAAAAATGAAATGAAATCTCGAGAGAGAAAAAAGGAGATCTATAAAATTTGGAGAAAATCGAAAAATTTTCAGGAAATATCGCACGAATGTTGGATCGTGCGATCGTCGGACACGCTACAAATTTGTCTCGGAAGAAATGCGGTCACGGAGGAAGTTTTCGCGATGCGGTTACACGCTGAACGCCTCATAAAATAGCAGGGGGCCGTTTATTTAGAAACCGTCGTTGCGAGACGAGAGATTGAAAAGATTTCAGAGGGGCATTTGGACCTCACCTGAACTCATTTTCGGCAGTCCCACGTTCTTTTATCACAATTCTCTTCGGTTTGCATCTACTCGATCTTGCATCTACTCGTTTTCTTTTTCGTGGGATAAGAGGATAAATGTCCCTTCTTCCATTTCCACAACTAGGTATATACCTAAACAAATTTTTTAATAAATCGTCGAAAATAAAATTTAAAATGAAAATGACTGTTCGATAATATTCATCATTGCGATAATTGAAAGAATTTCGAAAATTGTTTAAATCTATTTGAATAGATTGAGAAAAGAGAGAGAGAGAGAGAGAGAGAGAGAATTATTTAGTATTACAATGTCTTAATTTAAGTAAGTTATTAACCTAAACTAACTTCTTAG